TTTCTGAATCCTTGTTCCGCATTGGCACACAATGCCTTTCCCAGAAAGTAACGACCCACATACTAAAAACAAAACACACAAAAACGCGGGACATTGGAGAAAAAAGATATCGAAAGCAGATGCGGACGGTTTCTACGTGCGCCCGAAGCAAAGCGGGGTCGGTGGAGCTGTTCTCACGGCACCACTCATTGTTTGCTCACCTGTTTACGAAAATCAAAAAAGGTTCTTCTCTCTAACACCTCAGAGCAAAATGCGCGGTGAGAAGAAAAAGAGAAAAAGAGGCGGTTTCTGAGTGCGCCCCAAAGAAATTATAAGTACGTGTGAAAAGATGCGGACGCACACCGTACAATATTCCTACAAAACTCAGACTAATTTTTTTTTCTTTTTTTTTCCTCCTAAGAAACACAGCATTCACCCTTCTTCATTTATTTGTGCAAGCAAGGGGGAAAAAGCCTTGGACAAGCTTCAAAACGCGATACAGGGTATTTCTTTTTGCACCTTGCGTTGAAAAACCAACCCGTTTTTTTTTCCACCCGGGAGCGAATATAAAGGCTTCAATCTGAAAGAAGCAGTTATAAAACAAGCCTACTCCATCGTCGCTTTAGCTCACACAGAGCAGCACCATCTTATCCAAACGCTACGCGGCTACACCGTAGATGGAGGCTCCTGTACCAAATACAGTTGCAACCACACCAGCAAAGAAGAGTAGATATGTGCAGACGTAGTTCACTATTCCAACCTCTTTCAGACCCCATTTCCCACAATACATCCGGTAAGCCGCTGGGAGGCAAAATCCTAGAAGGCCACCACAAAGACTTCCAAGAAGTCCAAACACAGTGTTCAGCACAGGAATGAAGAGTCCAAGGAGCAGAGCGCAGAGAGCCATAGTGCCGCAAAAGAGACAATTCTTCCATGGCGCAAGTGTCTTCACCTCCCACCCGATGATGTAGTAGCAACAATCACGAGCAGGCTGCATGCACAACGAGAAACCCACACACAGCTTGAACACGATCCCTACGTAGGCAATGGCCATCATCAGATCATTTCGGACATCGTAAAACACAAGGACGGTGTCAGTCACTTCGTCTCCAAAGTCCGCATAACCAAAGAAGCCAGCGATGATGTACGCGATGCAACACAGGGTCATGCTGCACGCTGTGTGGAGTGTCATGCGTTTTGCACTCGGCTTTCGCATCTCACCGTAGACAGAGAAGCAGTTCATGTGGCACAGGTACGAAAACATGAAGATGGAAAGGCCCTCGATCGCATTGTTCCCAGACTTGAACATCGCAATATCATCACGTAGTTTTCCGCCCTTAAATCCGTTTTTGGCAGAATGCACCACAATACAGATGATGAAATAGCAGATGCAGATAACTCCAGCGGCAGAGGCGTAGCGCAATGAGTTGATTTCCTTCGGGAGCGACAGGGAAAACATGCCCACAAGCCATATCATGCTCGTCAGTGTACGGTTCCCGGCCTGGGAGCGGAAAAACTCCGGAACAGACGGATCCGCTAGCACAGGCTCCAGGAGACGGCCAATGGCAATGACGTAGCCCACACATGTGCCGAAAGTAAACAGCCACGTGAGCATGACAGTGAAGTAATCCCATCCCGGACCAAATAGGTTCTTTGAGAGGTCGGCGTAGGAATTATAACCGGTCAGTTCAACTGCCTGCATCATCAGTCCAACGGAGTATACCGTGAATACCGTCACCAGCACAAGCAAGATGATGGAGGACACAACACCGCTCATTTGGAAGGCCGCCGCCAAACTGATCACTCCGCCCCCAAGTGTAGCGCTGGCAAGGTTGAAGGTCGTCGACAGAAGACCGCCATACGGGATGATAGAACCCAAACGACTCAGAAGGCTTCTTGAACCATCACTTTGTTTGCGATCACTGCCACTACTATCGTCAGCAGCAAAAGCAGACGCCATCACCGGTGTTTTCCTTGGTTCAACATCGCCCTGTACCATATCTGTTCCGTCGTCAAGGTATTCCCTTTGTTCACTCATTTTCTACGAGACCGTGAAGTCACACTTTATATTTATTCTATTACAAATCAGAAGGCAAAAACGATGATAGTTGGCACCAACAAAGCACCGAACAGCAGAGAATTATGCTCAGGAAACATCCGCACCTCTCCGGGGCCATGATTCTCAGTTGCTCTGTATGATCACTTAAAGTTCTCATTTTCACTGTATTCATTATATATTATGAGCCTAAGCGGCAACAGAACTCTCGAACAAGAAACATAAAAAAAAAGCGCAAGAGATTCTGGCGGTTTCATCGTGCACCAAACAATTATGCAACTTTGCAGCTTTATATATA